AAAGTAGAGAAAGAAAGTAATAAAAATACATGGGAAAACAAAATTTACATGGAAAATTTAAATTTGCACAAATATTGTTGCAAATCGGAGGGAATTTGGTATAAAATTAATATTAATGGTTTTTGGAAAAAACAAATGGGGTAAACATCAATTACATACTACTAAAAGCGAATCGAAGGAGACACTTGGCAATATATTATAAAAAAAAAATTCCCACCAAAATTACTTTCTACAAATAAATTATTGTTTTGCATCTAGATTATGACTTTTATTTTATATAATCAATTACATACTACTAAAAGCGAATCTGAGGGGACACTTGACAATATATTATTAAAAAAATTCCCGCAAAAATTACTTTCTAAAAATAAATTTTTGTTTTACATATAAATTATGACTTTTATTTTATATAATTCTAAAGTAAACTTCCTAAAATATCAATTTGCACTATATAAATATTACATATATAAATATTTTTTATTATACGTTTGCGATGATTTAATATATTTCATGCATTTTTATACTTGGTCAAACAATTAATTTATTTTTTGCATAATTATTACTCCTTATATTTTTATTATAATTATTCAAGTGCATTACACGGTGTTTAACCTAGTTTTGGGACTAAAATTTAACCCTAAGGGACTATCATTTGAGGACGGAGGGAGTAATAGACAAAACTTACCCCTTATTAATGGTATATTTAAAGAAAATGGTAAATTAACCATATTTCAATGTTAAACTATCAGTGATATAATTCAGGAGTATACAATTAAACTTTGATTTTTATATCCACCCCTCTTCAAGGCTGCAACTAAGGGCCAACTCTGATAGAAGTGAGATGAACTGAATTGAAATGAACTAATTGGAACTGTGATCAACTGAACTGATCAACTGAATTGCATAGAGCTGAAATGTATTGTTTATGAGAGAAAAAAATTAGGAAATGAACTGATTTGAAATTAAGTTGAAGAGAACAGACCCTAACTATACTATTGATCCGTTACCAATTAAAATATGTTGTAATTATATATCAGCACATTTATTGATACAAAGTATTTAAGTTATGATAAGGTAATTAAATGAGGGAGAGGGAGACCGAGACCGAAAACGACTTAGTTAAAAAGACTTAGGAAGGATATGGAGTATGGATTTACACGAGGATGAGACATTACATTGTAAGGGATGAAAGAGGAAGATTTTTATCAATAACTACATGGAATAATCACTTTTGATTTATATCGCTATACCTCAATTATAGGATTGATTGATTGATAAGGTAGACCCAAATCTGAGATTAAATAATGTGATTATAACTGTCGGCCCTATGACTCTGTGTCATCAAATCTGAGTATCTGACCATTATTTCAAGTTATGACAAGAACAACAAAGGGAGAATGGGAGCATGGCCGTTTCTGAGATTTCGGTGGCATGGGGCAAAAACATAAATTGGGGCCCTAATTCACATATACTATATAAAATTTTAAGAAAATTAGGTATGCAAAATGAAAATACATATTTTATTATGATTAATAATTTTAAAAACATCAAATTTCATAACATTGAAATTACATTCCCGTAACTCTCGTTGAAATAATTACACCAGCCGAACCATTCAAACCAAGTATCCAACCAATCAATTAGATTTTTTTTCCTCAAATTTTGTAATATTTGAATGAAAGTAGTTAAACATTTTAAGAAAAATATAATTTAATAAGAGAACTTGATGAATAAAGTCATGTATGCACCATTTAAAAAAAAAGTAGGGTATGCAAAGAGAATTATATATAATTAGATAAATTCCCGTTGAAAATTGAAGAGTAAAAAGAGCATTTATTTTAGTTTTCATATTCAATTGAATCGAGAAAGAGAAGGAATTTAACTAACTGAAAATTGTAATGAGATACATTTTGAAAAATAAAATTACCAAAAACGGGGATACAATTAAAATTAATTAGTTTTTTTTTTTTTTTTGTTAATCAAATTCACTTAGGAAAGTGAATAATTTGGGCAAAAAAATTAGGGAAGAAATACGTTGACCAAAAATGTCATTTGATATTTTGGAATTCTACGGCACTATTGTAATGTTGTACAGTACACACTTCTTGTTTTTTTTTTTCTTCTTAAAAATATATATACATAGTATTATTTAGTACGAAGTATTACCTCCGTTAATGGTTATCTGCAACTTTAGGGTATTATTTGTGAGATATAAAATATTCTAAAGTTGCAGATAACCATTAACGGAGGTAGTATACTTTTCTGGGGCCTTGTATTGTATTGAAGCTGGACTTTTTAACAAGGGGCTAGGGCAGACGCCCCAACTGCCCTCCCCTTGCTACGGCCCTGAATGGGAGATACCGAGGTGTAAACGAGCATTAGCGAAGTAGTTCATGTAGCAGCTGGAAATATATATATTTATCAATGCATTATTAGAATTTCTTTCGTTATTTGTGGTTATTTTGGTAATGACGTTGACTTTCATTAATTCTAGTGCTTCGAGTTAGTGAACATAATATAATCGTGCCTTGCTCAATGAACAAGTTAAAATTATTAAATAAGGCTATGAAAAAGTATATGGCCATTTCTATTTGCATATTGTATAGTGGTCAATTGGTTCGTTGTTGATATTTTTGGGTTTGTATGCTCAGAAAATAATATTCATTGGTAACTAAAAGCTAAACATAAGATTTTAACGGTGGTGGATCAAAAAAAAATTATTTAACTAGATTAAAATAAATTTTAATGGAGTCATTTGATATAAATATAAGCAAATTTTTCGGGAAAAAATAAATTAATTAAATTTATAAGAAAAATTGTTTTATCATGTTCAAGTAGGTCAAGGGACACCACTTGAAAATCATGATCCACCACTGGATTTAAGGTAATTCTTTTTTAAACCAATTAATATTACAATGGAGAGTGAGGGATAGCTCAAGTGGTTATCGCTTCCCTCCCGATTCCAAGAGATCTTGGGATCGAATCTCACCCCCACCCTTATGGCTCTCTAAACACCAAAAAAATAAAAATATTACAATGGTTAGCTATTAACTATTTTTTGTTTTTCAAAATTTCTATACTTCGCTTAATATTATGAATAAATTCATTAGCACAGTCTCTTACGCAAAATTGGTTTATATTTGTTACTCTCTATATTTTTAGAGATAAAGATAAAGATGAATGTAACATTGTTAATATTTAAGCAAAATCCTTTATTACAAGAAACTGGCCAAATCAAACAAGAACAGAATTATACAAATTCTTAAATGGACCTGGTTCACACTAATTCATTGTGGACCACTAACATCAGGAAAATTATGATTGTTTTATTAGTTAAAAAAAGAGTCACTTTAATAGAAAAAAGGTCTCTATGTTGAAATAAAAGTCACTTTGGTAATATATAGGCTATAAAAGGTTAATTTTTTTAATAAAATATTTTATATACCGGTTAATATGAATAATAAAAGTCACTATGTTAAAATTAGGGTCATAACGTTATACTTTAAATTCACAATAATATTAAACGTTATACTAGTTTTAATAAAAGGTTACTATGTTAAAAATAGGGTTACTATGTAAAAATTAAAGGTTACTATGTTCAATATAATGTCAGTTGAGTGTGTATAAACTCGGGTCCACAATAACATTATTGTGGACCAGGTCCACGCAAGTCTTTTGTAGAAATGATTATTTGAAACTAAAATCGACAAGATCCATTTTTGGCTTGCCCAAAACTGAACAATTATGAAAAATGTTAAAGCCATATCATATCATATAACTAATATATAAAGCTAAACTTTTAGCCAGGTCACGACGTTGCGACACTTGGCGTTCCAATTTGCCAAGTGTTGCGCCACGTAGGATAGAGTTATATAAAATTCAATTTGTAAGATAAAAAAATTAGTTTATAATTCTATTTTCAATCAAATTTCGATAGAATTTTAGGATAAAATTTTTAATTTAGAGTTTTATTTTCGATAAAGTACCAATATTTCATATGTACAAATAGAATTATTGTTTTATTCAAAAAATAATTAGATTATAACACTCATAAATTATCATATAAATTTATTTTTTGTATCATAATATTTTTTAGAGAGAGGGAATTAGTTCAAAATGCACCACATCCATTATCTATAATATATTCTAATCAATTTAAATAATATATACTTCACAATCTAATATAATTTTATTACTGTGTGTAGACCAGTCAATGTCAATCGAATCTGGTCGCAAGTCATTTCAAATAGCTAGGGTCATTATTTCAGGTTATGGGTCAAGAAATATTTTTCACCAATATTATTATTATTATTAATCATTACATGTCTACTACATAGTTTAAATTGTCACAAAAACACATCAATTCCTAACTAATTTTGTATCAATGATATATTTTAAAATTTGACATCTAGATTAAAAATTTATCTTAAATTTCAATAAACAACCCGGGCATTGCACGGGTACAAAACTAGTATATAAATAAGAACAACAACAACCCAATTATAAAATTTAACCGTTCAAATTTGACAGCAAACATACTCGAATCGAATACGGTTTAATCCACTATTGACTTGGTTTTTAACCCTATATATACTGTTACAACTCGATAAAAAATTGTTAAGCCGAACCGCATTAAACCTTAATCCCTTAAAACTAAGTTGTTTACAAATAGCAAATTGTTTGAACCGAACTGTTTATACTCCCTTTGTGTTTTTTGTAAGTGTTACACTTTTCAAATCCGGCCGTGTTTTAATAAGTGTTACACTTCCTTTTTTTAGCAAAAAGCTACATTAAAATATTATATATCTCTCCTCTCAAGGTCCCCACTTAAACCCACTACTATTTTTTTATTTGATCTCTCCTTTCACATTCATTACTTTTCAATAAGTTATTAACCCCACTATATTTCTTTTTCAATTTTTTAATACTCCAACTACCCCACTTACCACTTATTTTATTTAAGTCAATTAAATTGCCTAAAACTATGTATCAGTTAAAGTGTACGTAACACTTAAAAAAAACACGAAGGGAGTAAACTGCAAAGCACTTAAACCGAAATATCGACAAACTGTAAACCGTTTTAGTCGAAGCATTTATGACATGTTTCTAACTTACAAATAATCAACATTTCACGCAAATTCTTATTATTTTCCCTCAAAGTAAAAAAGTTTGTGCAGCCAGCCACAATTTTTTTTTTTTAAAAAAAAAAAAATCTTCTTCACTCTCCTCTTTTCTCTACTTTGCCCACCCAAACCCCCCTACGTCCTTTATCACGAGCTCTTCCTCTTTTTATCTTCTGTCTCCTCTTTCTCTTTCCTCTTTTCATCTTCTCTCTCCTCTTTCTCTCTCCTATTTCTCTTTCCTCTTTTCATCTTCTCCAATTAGGCAATTAGCCCACCCAAACAAAGCTATTTGGTGCGGCAGTAGTAGCGGTGGAGGAAGCTCCTCGTACTCCGTCTCCATAAAATAAGCTAGAGGTTTTCAAGGTCAACTTCATCCATGAAAACTCTAGATCTAGAGTTTTCATGGTCGAATTTGGCCTTTTTAATCGTATTCGAAGTGAAATTTGAAGTCACTATTAATTTTTAAGGTATTTGTTCATTTAATTAATTTTTTTTAACGATTTTAAATTTTTTTTTAGCTGGATCTAGAGTTTGGGTGTGGTTTGGGTGTTGTCGTGGTGTGGGTCTGGTTGGATGTGGTTTAGGTGTGGTTTGGTTTTGGATTAGATGAATTTTGGTGGTGGTGGTTGTTGGTGGTGTGGTGTTGGTGGTGTGGGGCAGTGGGTGCGGCAGTTGGTGGTGGCGTGGTTGTTGGCGGCGTGAATATGGGAGTGAATGTACAACAAGTGGTGTAGGTTGGTTGGGGGTTACTAGGTTAGAGGGGTTACTTGGTCTAGGGTTACTAAGTTGGTCAGGAGTTACTAGGTCGGGGGTTACTTGGTCAGTCAGGGGTTACTAGGTCGGGGGTTAGTAGGTCGGTTAGGGGTTACTTTGGGGGTACTAGGGGTTACTAGGTCGGGGGTTACTTGGTCAGGGGTTACTAAGGAGTCAGGGGTTACTTTGTTTGGGGGGTTACTTGAGGGGTTACTTAAGTGGGGTTACTAGAGAGGTTACTTAAGTAGGGTTACTAGAGGGATTACTAGATGGGTTACTTTAGGGGATACTAGAGGAGTTACTGATGTGGCATCTTGCCGCACCAGAAACGCACTGATATATATATATGGAAAATTTGTCAGAAATAACCATTTAAAGCAACTATTTTGTCAGGAAAAACCTTATAAATTTTTTTTGTTCAACACAATCAAAGGTGAGAATTCGGCATTGACTGAGTGTTTTCCGGCGTTGACCCAGCATGTGTTGGTTACGTGCTCCTTTTTTTTCTAACTCCAACCAATTAATCCTTATTACCCCCACTAATTTCTCTCTAAATCTCTCCTTTTAATTTACCCTTTTTTTTCTTCTTATTTCCCTGCTTCCTCTCTCTCCTCTCTCAATCGTCGAGGTAATTAATTGAAGATCTGGGCTTTTTGACATGGCGGCGTCACTCCTCAAGCATGATTTTAATTAAAGAACTTAATTTCCACTCACCCTAAACAGTATGTTCACTAAATGCTTAGTATTTAATTAAATTAGGTTTCCTTTTTTGGGTAAGTTTGTTCTGATATTTTTTTTACTCTGCTCTACAATGGTGAAGAACAAAGCAAGAATTGCTGGAGTTGTGTCATGTTCGAACAAGCTAAAAGGAACCAATAACAAAGTTATATATAAACCCAGGTACGCTTTCTCACCTCAAAATTGTGGGTTGTTGATTAAACAATTGGCATTGTTAGGGTATTATAATTGATTAACTATCTTTGGTTAAAGTAAAGTAATTGAAAATTGCATGTTTGCTTTGTTTGGTGTGTTGGATATAATATGATATTCCTTTTGCATGTGGTTAGTTGTTGAATATGAAATTAGTATTGGTTTGTTTTTAATTGGATCAGGTTTAACGGTAGAGATAACATTTTTTCCCCTTAATATAAATTAATGGAGGACATTAGTATTAGGTTGTACTATGGTGGGGAATTTGTGACAAATAATAGGAAAACAACTTATGAAAAAGGGAAAAGTGCTTATTATGGGGTTTCACTTCATCCTAATGTAGATGAGGTGTGCTATTTTGAGTTTGCTCACTGGATAAAAAGTGAGTTAGGAGATAAGGAAGTGGGAGAAATTTTGTTTAGGAAGCGAGGGTGTAGCTTGTTCAGTGGTAGGACACAGATCAAGAGTGATGTGGAGATTCATGAGTTTTTGCAATCACCAGAAAAGGATAGGTGGTACCACCTGTACTTGGTCCAAACTGTCAAGGAGACTTATGACACATCAACTTATGGACCAGGAGTTGGGGTGTATATAGATTCTAAGACTGAAGGTAGGGTATTTAGTGACTTGGATGTGAGTAGGGTCAAGGGTGGTGAGTCAGCAAGAATTTCAAATGGGGCCTACACAAACCCTAGATCTAAAACTCAAAGCATTATCCTTATCTCAAGTGATACCACAAATACAACCTCCCTAACCAATTTCCCACCTAACTTAAATAGCTTTCAAACAAAGCCTCACTCAGAAACACCTTCACTTTTAAAACAATATCCTTTCATAGCCAACACCTTCTGTATTGTTGATGGTAGAAGGCAGAAGCTGCTAATTGTTCTAGCCCAGAAAAAAAAAACCTTGCAACAAAGAGAGGTTGAGTGTAGTAAACAAAGAAGTGAGGAGCCTGTCCATGTGCTTGCAGAAGATCCTGAGAAACCTTTAGGGGAGGATGAGGTATTGAGTGATGAAGACAGATCTAGTAATGAGGATACCCCATATTTAACTGATGAGGATTACGATGATATAGATGATACTGATTTGTTCCACCAGTACATAGATGGTGAAATATCAGAGAGAGTGACCAGGAGATTAGATGGTGAACAACATTCAGGCAAGATAGATGGAGAGGATGATAATGATAATGGTATTGAGTTGTAGGATGATGTTGTGCTTAATGACAGTGATGATGAAGTGGTTAGCATAGTAGGATCAGATGATGAGGAGGGTTATGATTATCTAGTGTTTAACCCAGAGACTAATTTCAGGGGAAGGATTGAACTCAGTAAAGGATTAAAGTTCCCTTCTAACAACATATTCAATAAGGCTCTCAGACACCATGCTATTGAAAATGGTTATGACTATTATTATTTGCATAATAATAGGTGTAGTGTCACTATTTTTTGTCCAAAGAGATGTGTTGCCCTTGGAAGAGAACAAGGATTCTGGAGTGTAAGTATAAGGATAGAAGGAAGTGCAAATTCAAGGTGTATGCTTTTAAGTTAAAAGATGAAGATACATGGCAGATTAAGAGTTGTAAATTGAAGCACATATGCAGCCATCAGATTCATAACACCAAGCTGCCCTCATAGTGTTTGGCTGAAAGATATTTGGAGGACTAAAGGGATGATCCTTTTATGAAGCTGCAAGATTTTATGAAAAGAGCAAAAAGAGAGATTGAGGTTGAGGTAGGGTATTACATGGCATACTATTCTAGAGCCAAGGCTTTCAAGATGATATTTAGAGATGCAGATTTGGAGTACAGTAGGGTCTGGGATTATGTTGCTACAATCATAAAATACAACCTAGGTTCCACTACAAAGGTTAAGGTCACAAGGATAAAGAATCCACCACCTCTATTTCAGAAGTTGTATATTTGCTTATAGGCTTGTAAAGAAGGGTTCATGGGTGGGTGTAGGCCAATTCTTAGGGTTGATGGGGCACACCTTAGAGGTCCATACCCAGGTATCTTATTAACGACATTAGGTAAAGATGGGAATCAGAACATCTTTCCTATTTCTTGGGCATTAGTGGAGACTAAAAACTTAGAGACCCGGACCTGGTTTTTGACATTGTTGAAAGAAGACCTTGGGTCAGTTACTGATAGTTTTACCTGGGTACATGAGAAGGAAGATCTGACATACTTGTCAGATAGGCAAAAAGTATGAGACTATCTTATTTTTTATTTCTTTCTTATTTCTTGATTGTTCTTGGATGACTTAATTGATTACATATTGTAACGTATTGTACATTTCAGGGTTTGATTGATGCTTTCAAGACAACCATGCCAATTGTAGATATAAGATACTGCTTTAGGCACATTTGGACAAACTTTAAGGGCAAATTCTCAGGTGTAAACTATAAAGAACAGTTCTTGAAGGTTGCTAGATCTTCAACTTCTGTAAGAAGCTAATCTTGGTGGTAAATATGTTGGGTGTTTGTTGATTAATGGCCTTATTTACCTAAATAACTTGATTGATGATTCCAATGCAAAACCATTTCAATACAAATATGGCAGCAATTAAGAAAATCAATGAGGATGCCTTCAAGTACTTAAGTGAGATTCCAGCTGTGCATTGGTCTAGGCATGCTTTCACTTTTGCTAGTAAATCTGGTATGCTTCTTAATAATTGTTGTGAGAGTTTTAGTAATGTATTAAAAGATGTTAGGTCAAAACCTATTTTACAACTTATGGAGTGGATTAGGAGGTATATTATGCAAAGGTGTCTTGCTAAAAGGGAGGAGTTAAAACACTTTGAGGGTCACATAATGCCTAGTATTCAGAAAATGGTGCATCCAACTGAGAAGGTTGAACTATGAAGATTACATACACCCTGCATACCATGTGAAAACTTGTGCCAAAACCTATGCCTCTACCTTTAGAGCCATGCCAGGATAATCCTAATAGGAAGTCACACCTTACCCAAAACCATTCACCCCTCCACATAGAGTTATGGTTGAAAGACCTAGTAAGAAGAAGAGAGTGAAGGAACCTAGGGAGGATGAAGAGAGGAAAAATGCGAAGAGGGCAAAGAAGCAAAATACGTGAGGGAGATGTGGTGGTCTTGGTCATTACAAGACCAATTCTTCAATCTAATCATGCAAAAAATGCCTAAAGGAAAGGTAAGAAATGCTGATGCTTTTCCTGGGGCATCAGGTTCTCAAGCTACACCAACAGAGCCTGCCACCTCTCTACCTCATCATGTTATTGCTTCTATCAGAGCTCCCAAAACCAAAAGTTAGACAAAGGGGAAAACAGTTGCTGCTACAATTACTAAGTCAAAGGGGAAGGATCATGTCCCTACTATTACACCAGCACAAAAAAGGCAGTTGCAACAAAGCCTGTATGCAAGAAGAAGAAAAGACTAATCCTTCTTTCTGAACTTAGCCAAGCATCACAAAGTTCAGCCTTTGCAACTGGACATCCACCAGTGACACAGTCCCAAGAGCAGCCTACTCAGAGAAGTCATTCATGATTTATATGTGCATTGCTCTGTATTTTGGTACATGAACTAAGTTAAATCTATGTTCTTTTGTGAGCTAATTGTGGTGAACTAAATAACCCTCCTTTTGGTCTTTATTTTCTTTTGTAAGACAATTAAATACAATTAGCACATTTTAAATAGTGCTTATTTTGTTGTCAAATGCAGATGTTTTTTTGCTACATTTGTTATAACAATTAAAACACATAATCAAAAGTAGTTAAAATGCAACTTTCATTTCATTTTCTGATAATTCTAAGTAACTAGACAGTACATATACTCTGCTTCCCTAATTACCTAACTAACTTACTCAAATACTAAACAATTCTAGCCAAAGAGTTTCACAAATATGAAACTCACAACAACAGATACAATGACATGAACACAAATTAACTACCCATATTTAACCCGATCTCCCATTTTCAACCCAGCTGCAGTGTTCTTTCTCCCAATTTTGTTTTACAGCTTCTCAACTTTTTGGCTAGTCTTTCCTTCTCATGCTCAACACATGCCATCCTTGTTCTCATAATTCTTAGATCGGTGCAAAGCCGGTGTTTCTCTACTACCAGAACATTAGTTTACATCTCTCTGCCAGTCTACAATACCATCATCAACCCACTCAAATTTATCGCAACCCCTTTGCCCAGTTTCATGCATGGTTGTAGAACTTGCATGCAATGAATTTCCTACCAGGATTGTCGTGGGTCCAAGATGTCCTTTTCGCAAAAATAAAACCACATGAACATCTGGTATCCTTCAATTGAGCCATGAATGCTGCGAAATTTAGATCAATTAGGGAAAATTACAAAAGGGGGGGAACCTAATTTTTCAAACACATGAAAATTCAAAGAACTAGGCTACAATTAAACACCTATTCTAATGCATCCTTGGTCGAATTTAATTGAACAAGACTATTTCTGGGATTAATTCAAAAAACCAGGATAAAGAAAAGACATAGGAGAGACGACATAGGAGATAGCAGATCTAAGAGAGGAGAGAGAAGAAGGAGGGATATAAGAACAAAAAAAGGGGGTAAATTAAAAGGAGAGATTTAGAGGGAAATTAGTGGGGGAATCGGTGCAATAGAAATTAATACCCCCTAAAGTTGGGAAAATGGGGAATAATCCAAAGTAGGGATTAATTTTAGCAGACGAGAAAAAGTTCAAATTAATGGGAGCAATTTTTCCTATATACATATATATGTTAGTGTAGGGAATATTTAAAGCATTATCCCTAGCTTGAACCCCACTGTGATCATACACTTAAGCATGGTGGCGTCCAAAGGGAAAGAAGATAGAGCAAAAGAAACGCCAACAAGTTTTAGGAACTTGTAAACCGTTCACGAGGTGAAGGTTACACCCCTTAACGATCTAGGAGATCGTCAACTCCAATAGGTCTGGAACCATGACTGATAGTTCGGGGATAAAGGTACAAATCCAACCTAAAAGAGATTGAACCTGCCATAATAATAGGCCTCTACTTTATTCTAATCGTATGCATGTGCGCTTTCTGACTAACATGCAATCAATAGGATTAACCCTAAACCTGTTTAATCTATGTTGGTTGAATATTAAATGCATAAATAAACCTATTATTGGTGATCACTTGATTATAATCATATTAACCCTAAAACAACATTATTAATAATCTTATTAAGCGTGATTACAAGTACCAATTCCCTTTAAACATGCATATAAGGTGTGATCAAGCAATAATAATAAATATATCAAGCAACATAATAATAAAATTAATTATTATAACAATTATAATCATCATATAATAATCATGTTAAAGCATAATATTAATAGCAAGATCCTAGGCATGATACTAATAGAATTAATAACAAACCCTAGCATGTCACTAAACAATAAAGATCAAAGATTTAGCCCTAACATGATACTAACATGAATATTAAGAAAGAAAATAGGAAGCATCATAGAAATCATAATTGATATAAGCAAATCACCCTAAATATCATACTAAAGAAATCATCCTAACATGATACTAGGAACATCCTAAAAATGATACTAGGAATCAAAATAATAACCTAAGCATGATTTCTATATCAAAATAATAATAAAACAATTAAAGCACTTACTTGGATGCCTCGTATCTCTTTCTAATAACAAAATACACACGTTAGTAACTTCAAGGAAAATAATAAAACAAACAATTAAATCAAATAATTTAAAAAGAGATTAAGAAAGTTTAGACTTGATTTGGGACCAAACCCTCAGAAATCAAGCCTTTCTCGTCTAGGGCGAAGACAACTTTGAACTTGGCTAGGTGTTTCTAGATCTTGTGAATGCGGAATTTTGTATGCAAAAAGTAGTTTAGAAAAGAGAGAGAGAATCTTGAAAACTAGAGAGAATACAAAAAACTAGAGAATTGATAGTTGTTGATGGAAATTGATGATTGAAAACGGAGGTTTTAGGATGCTATTTATAGAGAAAATCAGCCGGATGTGATAAAAAAATGAATCAGAGTTTTGAAAAGAATAAAACATGACCGCAGCGTCAAACAGGTGCGTGGCGCCAAATGCTGGACTCTAGCGCCAGAGGCCAGGAGTGGCGCCAGACGCTAGACTTTGGCACCAGACGCTAGGCGAGGCGCCAGGCGTTGGAAATCAGTTTTGTGATTTTGTTTTTATCATATCTTTTGATTTAGAAGTCCAAATAAGTCTAAAATATGTCGTTGGAAAGCTCTTGAAGTATACTTTCCAATACAATTAAAATCAGATTAAAATATTATGTAGATAAAAAGATATGGCTGAAATAGTAGAAGGGTGTCAGTTTTGGATAGAGTTTCACATCTCATTCATATCTTTTTCGTTATAGCTCAGATTTAATATAATAATATATCATTAGAAATATAATTTCAAGATCTATCCAACCATATAAAATTTGGATAAATATTATGAGGCACGAAAATAAAATTTGAATATATTCTACTTCGTACAAAAACAAGGATTCTAAAAAGGAATAGTATTATTCAATTTCAAACTCTTTGCAACATAATTATCAATCCTAACTCCATTAGTATTTAAAAGAATCTTCTAAAATATTCTAGAAGACTATAATCAATCCTAATACCTTTAGTAATGATAATTAATAATAGGCCCTCCTCTATATCATTGGGCCGTAGGTAAATACTTCCTCATTATTCATCGGAATTGGGCTTATAATATATTGTTGGAAAGGTCTTTTCAAACCGTATCCAACTACACTATTATTGGACCCTTATGATGGACCAAACTAAACTAGAATTCACGTTTTTCATAAATAAGATAAGAAAAGAAATATTTTCAAAAACAGAGAGAAGAGATATTTTAATAAAAACATCCTCATCACTGGACTTTTCACACTTTCGCTTTGTTCGATAATCAAATGACATGAAAGATATTCATCATTGGGTTTGGTTTTGGGGAGACCCATTTGGGTGTCTACAGTTAGATTATGTAAATAATCTTATGTATATATTAGTTTGTATTTTACTAATGTATTCTTAGTTGTTAACCCTAGTCTAGGCTTCTATATATATTGATGTTTACAAATATTATCTTATCTCTCATATTCAATCATGGTATCACGAACATAGGTTACAATCCTCTATAAACCCTAGCTCTCTTGCACTCTCTATTTCTCCATATATATATATATATAAAAGACGCATTAATATAAGTTTCTCTACTTCATGATTTACTTACCAATAATGAATTTAACATTAAATTAATTTTTTTTATTTTATGCAAGAAATGAACAGTTATTTTTAATGATCAAAGATTGAAGATATAAAAAGGGAATATAGGAGATTTTTTGAAAATTTATGCGTATACTAGATTTCATAATTTTAAGATAAAAGAAATGGAGAAGATTCAATAATATAGATTGAAACCTTCCGGTTATTTTTTTATTTCGACCAATAAATTTCAGCTGTATTGATTTAGAAATATAAAAAGAAAAAATCGCTAATTTCTATATGACTTTGGGTTGCCTTTTTTTATTTTATTTAGTTATCTTTTTTCTTTTTTTATCCTATTTTTTATTTTAAAAAAAACCTAGAAAAAACGCTTTATTTATTAAAAGTTGTTATTATTTTAATTATTTTTGGTTGTATATATATTGTAGATGCAACATGTGTATTTTTGGGATAACTCTGGTCATCATTTTAGTATAAAGTACCAATTATTATTAAAAAATATTATTACACAAACTAAACACTTGATGTTATAGAGGGCACCAAAGCAAATTAAATGGTTAAGTATATACTTATTAGCTTAATATGCCACATCTATTCAATATATATACTAAAATAGCAACCGTTGATGTCATAATTGCCTACATGTCACTTTTTTATTTAATATTTTCCCTCCAAAATGCAAGGATGATATCATTTTTTTTCCTTTTAAAGCTACTCTATTTAACATAGCTTTGAAAATATATTCCATTTGAATTTTTAAATTTTAAACTTTGGGTTTTCTACACATATTATGCTATTTAGCTATTTACGAGTTGTTAACAATAGTTAATAATATAATTTAATTGAAATTTCTTAATTAAATATGAAAATTAATCACTTTCGGAATTTTATATTTCATATTTAATTAGAAATTAGTTAGGAAAAATGAGGAAGTTATTTTCTTTAACTATGTGTTAAAAGTCTATAATTCAATTCTTATTTTAAAACGTGCATCGCACGGGGTTAATCTAGTAAGATTATTGTAGGGAATATTTCAAGCATTAATCCCCTTGCTCGAACCCCACTGTGATCATACACTAAAGTACGGTGGCGTCCAAAAGGGAAGAAGATAGAGCAAAAGAGTCGCCAACAAGTTTTAGGAACTTGTAAACCGTTCACAGGGTGAAGGTTGCACCCCTTAACGATCCAAGAGATCGTCAACTCCATAAGGTCTGGAACCAAATAAGGGTTCGGGGATGAAGTTACAAATCCAACCTAAAAGAGATTGAACCTTCCCTAATAATAGGCCTCTACTTTATTCTGATCGTATTCATGTGCGCTTTTTGATTAACATGCAATCAATAGGATTACCCTAAACCTGTTTATCTATGTTGGTTGAATATAATGCACAAATAAAACTATTATTGGCGATCACTTGAAATTATAATCAAATTAACCCTAAACAAGATTATTAATTATCTTATTAAGCGTGATTACAAGTACCAAATTCCCTTTAAACATGCATAAAAGGCGTGATCAAGCAATAACAATAAATATATCAAGAAACAATAATCATAATAATAATAATTATCATAATAAAAATAAATTATAACATTAAAATAATCATAATTATAATCAAAACAATAATCATTATAATAACAATCATATTAATCATAATAATAATCATGTTAAAGCATAGCAAGATTCTAGGCATGATACTAACATGATTAATAACAAACCCTAACATGTCACTAAGCAATAAAAATCAAATATTTAACCCTAACATGATACTAACAATCATAAATATTAGAAAGAGAATAAGAAGCATAGTAACAATCATATTTGATATTAAATTTACCCTAGACATGATACTAGGAATCATAATAACAATCTAAACATGATTTCTACATCATAACATCAATAA